AGTAGGTCCTTGTTGATGATCTATTTTATATATAGTAGTGTGTACATGTTAATCCCAAACTCCTAATTTGTCAGTGAGGCTGTTTGCAGACGCATCTGCGTGCCGACTTTGTCTTCACAGCCATAGGACTTCCCCGGGAGAGGGGGTTTATGGCCTTCATGTCTCAGAAGCCTCTGCTTTTAGGCAGATAGGGACGCTCTGAGAAGGCTTCTTTCTGAATCTGCTGATTCTCACTTGCTCCAGCTCAAAATCATCCTTAGGCCAAAGTGGCATGTTTTGGGGGTGACCCATTCTGATCCCCCTTCCGATATATTTTACAAATTTATCTCTTTATAATTTTGTTTATGTTTTTTGTTTGTTTGTTTGTGGTACGCGGGCCTCTCACTGCTGTGGCCTCTCCCGCTGCGGAGCACAGGCTCCAGACGCGCAGGCTCAGCGGCCATGGCTCACGGGCCCAGCCGCTCCGCGGCATGTGGGATCTTCCCGGACCGGGGCACGAACCCGTGTCCCCTGCATCGGCAGGCGGACTCTCAACCACTGCGATTTGTCAGTGAGGCTGTTTGCAGACGCATCTGCGTGCCGACTTTGTCTTCACAGCCATAGGACTTCCCCGGGAGAGGGGGTTTATGGCCTTCATGTCTCAGAAGCCTCTGCTTTTAGGCAGATAGGGACGCTCTGAGAAGGCTTCTTTCTGAATCTGCTGATTCTCACTTGCTCCAGCTCAAAATCATCCTTAGGCCAAAGTGGCATGTTTTGGGGGTGACCCATTCTGATCCCCCTTCCGATATATTTTACAAATTTATCTCTTTATAATTTTGTTTATGTTTTTTGTTTGTTTGTTTGTGGTACGCGGGCCTCTCACTGCTGTGGCCTCTCCCGCTGCGGAGCACAGGCTCCAGACGCGCAGGCTCAGCGGCCATGGCTCACGGGCCCAGCCGCTCCGCGGCATGTGGGATCTTCCCGGACCGGGGCACGAACCCGTGTCCCCTGCGTCGGCAGGCGGACTCTCAACCGCTGCGCCACCGGGGAAGCCCTTGTTTATGGTATTTTTGATGCAGGGAGGTTTTAAATAATAAGTAAAATGAATAATAATTAAACAGATAAACTGTTATAAAATCCATCATCTTTTCCTTAGGTAGTTTTTTTCCTCTTAGTTTTTATCCTTAGGGAGTCTGTCTCCACTTCAAAATGGCATAAGTAATCTGTTTTCTTCAGTTTTCTTCCGTTCTTGGTTTGCATTTGACTTTATCATAGTATCTTCATTATTGCTGAAAATAAGAGTATCTTCCTCATCTCCCATTTATTTTCCATCTTCTTTAGAAACTTCATTAGTTTCCTTGATGAATATTTCTCCCCTCTGGCAAGTCAAGCAATTAGATGACTCCCTTGAAAATAGTATAAATTTTATTTCTTTTAGCTTATCTTTAAAATATATAGGTAGGAAAACAGTCTACCAGATTTTCTGTAACCACTGCCCTTTTTTTTGAAAAACAGAACATGGGCAGCTAAGATTGAGATCACATTCTAGGGTCAGTTCCCTCACCGTGGAGCATCACGTGGCATCACAGTGGACCATCCCCGGTCCTGGAACGACGGCAAGGGAAGCAGGCGTCAGACTATGAAATGGGGCCGTGACGTCTCCGCTTTTGCGATCTTATTAAACCTGCTGACAAAGTGCTTGACTAGAGGGCTGTTCTCATTGTTGTGAAGGGAATGGATTTGAGGGGTTAATGCATGGAGACCCCTGTGTTAGTTCAGTGGGGAGGCCCCCTGTCCTCTTGCCCTGCACACTCCTTCCCAGGGAGATCTGGTCATAAAAGCAGTGCTCGCCGAATTGCAGGAGCAGCTGAGAGCTGAGCCTCCTAAAGGGTGCCTGGAGCAGCTCCCTAGAATGGCCTGTCCAGGGACTGGGTCACAGTTAGGAGGCGGGGGATTCAGGAGGTCACTGTCCAACCCAGGCTCTGGGATCACACCTCAGCCACCTGCAGACCCAGCCCTGCCTGATGTGACCACCAAATGGATGTCCCGCCTATTCCCGGCTTAACGCCCTTCCTAATTCAAGTCACCCTGGAAATTAGATCGAGGCTGTGCGCTGGAAGTTAAGTGCAGACGATGGGCAGAACCTCAGTTACATGTGAGAGCTTAGCAGTAAGGGAGCCTGGAAGTGGTGTTTTCCAGCCCACACTGCGGGAACCTGCACCAAAAGGGTGACGAGCGAGCCTCATCACGCGTCCCCATAAATCAGGTTGTCCATGGCAGAGGTGGAGTGGCGGGAGGGTGCCGGGTACGCTAGGAAGGGAGCACCCTCTGGCATCGGTGATTGATGGGTGTGAGAAGAGGGAGGTGACAGGTGATGATGTCAGAGACGGAACCTGTGCCACTGAGTCCTGGCTGTGCACAAGTTAGATTTCTTAACGTCCCTTAGCCTTTGCTTAGTGAAGTGACCGATTGCCATGTCTTATCAATAGTGGGACAGATTTCGAAAGCGAGGTGACCTCAAAACTTCCTCATACTTCTGAAATTCTTCTGGAGGTTGTACGACATCTGAGCATGTTTTATTTTCATCAGAAGTGGGGCGATCGGACAAGGGATGCTGTCCCCGTGGATTCCCAGCCCTCCCTCACCTTGTTTATGGAGTGGACCTCAAGGGGCCTCCAGGCTTTAGGGGTGTCCAGCAGACCCCAAGCAGGAGGAACTTTATCTTGGGGATCCCGCTGGGGTCTGGAGTAGTTTTCTTGTTGACTCAGAGATGCTGTCTGCTCCAGTGCCTGATTGCGGGGTTAAGGTGCCAGGTGGCTGCCTTGTCCTGGATCCTCCCCCCACCCCGCCCCCCAGGCTGAGGACAGCAGGGGGCCAGCGACACTGCTAACCAGGCTGCCTTTCCCTCCTGGCCGTGGGAGCGGTTCTGTCTCCCTCAGCTGTTTCAGTTTTCCACTCCCGCCTTGTTAATTGATAGCGATTGCACAGAACATCTGACTAGGTAGCAACTGAATTGGGTCATGGCTGCCCAAGGCCAGGGCGAGTTATTGTTCGGGGCCTGAACTCACAGCAGTGTTGGCAATCGGCTCTCACTTGCTGTGTGACGGTGCCCGAGCCCCCTGCCCTCTCTGGGTCTCATCCCCTCCTCTGGCAAGTGGGGCTCTCCCTTGCCCTCCACCGTGGGGCAGGCGGGCCTGGCGGCCCCCCCCGCCCCCCCCCCCGCCCCGAGATGCTTTTATGAAAATCTCTTGTCTCCTGGCCATCTAATATAAGCAGAATGTGCTCCTTGGCATCACTTAACCTCAAATAAGCTCATCAGTGAGAAGTCTGGGTGGAGACGGGAGTGACTGATTCTTGGCCACAGAGCCAGCAGCTGGTCCCCCTCCCTCCCCTCCCCCTTCCCCCTCCCCCTGGCAGCAGCCTGGGGCCGGGTGTGTCCTTTTCCCGCCAAGAACGTGCCAGGCTGAGGTGCAGGAAGGTGTGATGTGATCGGGATTGTAACCATTATAGGTGTTGTAAGCATCTCCTCACCAGGAGGAACCAGATGGGCTGGTAGATATAGCTGTTAGCCTTGGAAATCAATTACTCTGTGGGCAGAGTCCTGTGCTAGGCAGAGTGGAGAGAAAACAGTTCAGAAACAGCCTCAGAATGTAGTAAACCAGGCTGGGGAGACAGAATATACACAGACTGGTACTTGCGTGAGTGTTGGTTTTCCAGGCTGGCCTCCACAAGCCCCCTTAGCTCACACTCTAGTTTCTGACCCGGCATTTGCTGCACAAAGCACCGACCAGCCCTGTTGTGCATGTTTCACGCGGCCTTTGGCCTCACCCTGCTCTTGGGCGTTGACTGTTCGAGCCCTGGCCCAGGCCTGGGAAGCTCATTCACTGTATTCAAAACAGCAGGGAAATGGCAGGCCAGGGCGGCATCGTTGTCACCTGGACGGCTCGTCAAACTGCTTGCTGCACTTCCTCCAGAACTTCCCGTTCGGGGTCTGGCGTGGGCCCGAGAATGTGCATTTCTGATGCTTTCCCAGGTGACGCTGATGCTGCCGGTCCCTGGGCAGACATAGGGGGATGTCATCCCTGTAAAGAACACCTGTATCTGAATTGTTAATGATGAGATTACATGCAGCTAGCAGTGCCGGCCCTGGATGTGTCCCAGGGAGTCCAGGGAATGACGTGGCGGGCAGCTGCCTTCCTGCTCTGTCCAGGCTGGCTGGCCCCTCCCTCCGCAGTGCCTGGTGCAGAAACTCGGCTTGTCCCAAAGCCCGTTGAAGCCGAGACCCCATTTGTTTGCCCCTCGGGCCCAGACGTCAGTTGCTTGTGGATTGAGGGCCGTGTTTCCACTTGGACACACGTCACTTCGAGGGAACAGACGTGCATTTCTCTCTCACTTCTGCAAAAGGAGGAAGGAAAAATTGGAGGGTTATTTGTATTTGTTTTTCTAAATAATAAAGCTTAATTGTAAAAATAGTCTAAATGTTGTATTCACCAATTGATTGGCTTTCCTCCAGGTGGAGCAGGTGGCTTTAGGATGTAATTCAGTATTTACTGCTAACCCTCTTTATTTTTAAGACGACTTATAAAGTTTGGGGTGTTTTGGGGGATGGAAACACAGAGGCTGCTTTCAGTTTCCTCGTGTTACTGTGATGCCCCGGGCAAAAAGCTGGCAGGGGCTTTCCACCTGCAGGGCCGTGTGGCAGCTGTGCCAGTGATGGGGGACTCCTGGCCTGTGGTGGCAGGATGGAGGAAAGGCTCATCCGCAGATGTCATGGGGGGTGTGAGATCCTGCAGACTTTTATCCTCTGTCCCGGGGCTAAAACATTACACCGCCTTCCGTGGGCAGATTATATTTCTCATTGTTGGATTTTCAGAAACATTGAAGAGACTCTTAGCGGTATGTGTGACACAGCCTGTAAAGGGTGTCATGACCCTGAGTGCAGTCATGTGTTGCCCTTATGATTGACAAGTGGCCTCTGTGTGTGCTTCTCTCTGATCTGTTTTCTATTTGCCCCTCTCTAGTGGGATCTTGTGTGTGATAATGCCTGGAAGGTCCATGTCGCTAAGTTCTCCTTACTGGTTGGATTAATCTTTGGCTACCTGATAACTGGATGCATTGCTGACTGGTAAGTACCCACATGCCCGCCGCACAAACCTGGGAGCCGCAGCAAGCCCCTGCTGCCTAACGGGGCATGGTCGGTGTGAGCTCACCGTGACCGAGGCTCTCCTCTGCCCTGGTGCTGGTGGCAGAGCAGAAGGCTGTAGCTGCCACCTGCAGAATTCAGAATGAAAGGAATTGGCCAGTGCACAGAGCAGACCCTTTTGAAGTGAGAATCTAAATTCATTGCAATTCCCCGGCTGCTAGAATCTAGCAAAACCAGCTCGCAGCCTGCAAGCCCACGTCCTCCTGACCGTCAGAGTGCGGTTAGGAAGAGCCTGGGGACGTGGCTTCGAGGCTTTATGGGCTGGGCCCTGAGCGGGTGGATATACAAGAGGCGTCAAAAGATGGGGAGAGGACACGCCGGACTCTCTTCACCCCTGAGAACTGGACGGTGGGGCTGTGCCCCTGAGCTCCCTGAATGCCGCACAGATCTTAGAGAGGGACAGTCCTCGTAGTTGGCTTGGCCAGCAGATGCCTGTGCGGGTCCACGGGGAGCTGGGCCTTGAAAAGTGGACAGCATGTGGGTAATGGCTGGGCAGTGCAGGCAGAGGGGCGGTGACCAGAGGCGAGAATGAATATGCTTTACTTAGGTGGGTCAGGGGCCAGGTGTGTGGTTCAGGGTGAAGTGACAGGTTGCTCGGAGGGCGATGGGGGTAGTCATGGTAATAATAACAGCAACAATGGTAGCACCCCTCGCTTACTGGCTGCCTGCCATTGCCGGGCACCGTGCTGAGTGTCTCCGTGGATTAGAATACCCCATCCTCACAGCACCCCGTTAGGAAGGTACTGTTATCACCCCTGTCTCATGGTGGAGAAACGGAAGCACGGACGTTTAAGTAAAATCCCCAGGTTCACTCGGCTTTTAGGTCGGAGAGCCAGGATTTGAGACTAAGCCGGTGGTGGCCCCAGAGCCTGGCTCCACGGATGTAGACAGCTGGCTGGTGCTCCAGAGAGCACCTGCGGGGACAGAGCGGCGGGGGAGCCCAGGGAGGCCCCTTTCAGGTTCTAGAACTTTCTTCCCCAAGGCTAGCGCCTATTTGGGAGTTCCTTGCATTAATGTGAAGTGTGATTTCCTGAGTGTTCAGAATTTGCTTAATCATCGTTTGGAAGTGCTTCTTAAGGACATACTCCCTGGAGACGGCAACAGAGACGCTGTCAGTGATCTCTGGAAACCCACAGCCCGCCCTCGCATGGGGTTTGGTGGTGGCTTTTCTTGGGGGGTGGAGGCGGGGAAAGGGCGAGGGTTTGGGGTTTTGTTTTTTTTTTAAACCAAATACTTGAGCTTAAAGGTTTTCAGAGTGAGCTATACTGACCTAAAAGACACTCTAATCCCAGTGTTTTAACCACAAAGACTTTTGTTTCCTAGAAACCTGCATTGAAATAGGTGGGGAAAGCTATAGTAATATAACCATGTCACTTTTTTCTAAAAACACGGACTTGACGGAGGTTTTAGTGTCCTGATTCCTGAGAGATTTAATAGGGGAAGTAAATATGGACTTCGACCAACAGATCTGTGACTGTTTAAATTGTTTAGACGGGGTTTTGTGGTTTCTTACTTCTTGCCCATCCATGCCGTTTGGCCTCCCTGACCGCACGCCAGGCCTGGGGACAGAAGACAGGAGAGTTTGGGGTCTTCCCTTGGCGAGCAGCCAGAGTCTGATGCCGTGGCCGCCTCGCCAAGGTCACGGTGGGTGGGCAAGGGGCACCAGAGAGTCAGGGCAGGCAGCTTGTGCTGGGGCTTTCTGCACATGTTGAGTGGGCCTCAGTTCCAGTTTGAAAGTTTGGTGTTTTCCACCCTTGCCTGATTTATTTTTGGCATTTTACTCCCTGCTAGAGCCTTGCTTCAAAGGAGATAAACACATGTAGAGGGAAGCCCAGATTTCACAGCCCTTGGCACCGTTTCACGGCCGCGTAGGGAAGTTGATCAAATCGTAGGTTAAGCTAAGACCGCAGTCAGCGTCTAAGAAAACTTTATAAAGTGACTGTTTTCCACACACGTTCTATCTGGGACCGGACAGTATGTATGATCACGCGTTAGTTCACATAGAAGCGGGGGACCGGCCCGGTCAGTGGCTCTTGCCCGATGACCTTGTGCCCCCCCCCGCACTGCCCCGGGTCTTTGGCTGGACATCCTGCATGTCTCGTCCAGCCGGTCCCGGGAGGCTGCCTTTATGGGCTGCACTGCAGGCCCCCTGGCCCTCTGGCTCCCGGCTGAGCCTGACCAGCGGGGCGGAGGAGCACAGGCTGGAGATGTGAGGGAGGGGACAGCAAGGTGGCGGCATTTCCCTCCCCTGCTTGGTCTCTGTAGAGTTGCCCTCGGTCGGGGCCCCCCGGCCTGCGCCCCGTCTCTGAGCTCCGGACTGTCCTTGCTCCCCACTCCCCGCTGTCGGCAGCCCCAGCCTTCTCTCCCAGCTTGCCCCCCGCTTTGTAAATAATCCCTCCGTTAAAATCTCCTTCGAGTCCTCCATGTGAGTGGGACATCTGTGTCCTGTTGAGACCCCGTCGTAATTCTCTGGGGCTGCTGTCACGGTTACCAGGCACTTGGTGGCTTGGCTGAGCTGACTTGCGGTCCTGTAGTTCGCGCCAGGCTGAACTCAGGGTGCCCGCAGGGCTGCAGGACCCCCTGGAGGTGCTAGGCGAGAATTCACTGCCTTGCTTTCTCCACCTTCTCGCGTTCCTTGGCTCCCGGCCCACTTCTAGTTTCCAAGCCCCAGGTGGCTGGTCAGGTCCTTCTCACAAGGTCATCTCTCTAGTTCCCTGCAGCCAGGACAGGCTCTCTGGGTCCTTAGATTGGACACACCTGGACAGTCACCTCACCTCAGGCCCTTCACCTTCGTCACGTCTGTACAGCTCCTTTTGCCTTGAGAGGGGACACAGTCACAGGGTCTGAGGATTAGGACCGGGGCCTCCCCGAGGCCGTTATTCTGCGCATCACAGATTTGGGGGTGCAATTTTACCGGTCAGCTGGTGGGGGAGGGCTCCAGCTCTGGGGCAGCCGGTGCGAACTTGAACTCCAGTGCTTTCTAAATCACTTGCATGTGTCTATACACGACGGCCCTTCCTGAAGAAAGCACAAGGCTCGTTTGACGGAGCCTGGTCTTCCTGAAGATTCCATCCTTCCTCAGGGAGCCTGGATTCGGGGCCGGGGGCTCTGACCCTGAGGACCATGTTGGTCCCACAGTTCCTAATACTGATTTTCACTTAATGATTTTAACCACCATTTGGGAGGGAAAGATTTAGAATCATTTCTACAAGTTAAAAAAAAAAAAAAAAATCCAGGATCTTTCCTAAAGTGTCAGGACAGGGCAGACCATGTCTGGTGGGCGACGGGGACGCAGGACGCGGGAAGGGGACCCACGAGCTGCTGGGTGCCCTGTCCATCATCCCTGTTAGTGATCCCAACACACTGTGATGCAGGACGGTTATCCCCACGTTACAGAGAAGGGAAGTCGAGGTAAACAAAAATGGGTAAGTTAGACTTTGTTTTCCTTCATTTTAGGAGACCAACTAAGCCATGCTTAAATTTATTTCTGTAAACGGGTTGGCTTTGGGCCAAACTACCTATAGAGTCTTTGCTGATGAGGGCTTAGTGACCCCAGCACAAGTCAAGGGAGGTAATGGCTAAAATCTCGATAAGAAGGTTGACTTACGTTGCGTTGAGCTCACAGCCTTGCCCTCCTTTCTCTAAACCAAAGCGACTGATGGGGCTGCTCAGAAGCCTAAGGAATTCTGAATGAAATTGTGTCCTGTAGTTCCCGCCCCCAGAGTTTCTAGAAATTACATCCATCTCCTGCACAGGGCAAGGCCGTGCACTACTGAGTATTGCTTTTTTAAAAAGCAGCTTTATTGAGAGATAATTTACATACCATAAAGCTCCCCCATTTTAAGTACCCAATTCAGTGAGTTTTAGTATATTTACAGGGTTATGCAGTCACACCACATGCCGGGTCTACAACATTGCCATCTCCTGCCCATTTGTAGTCACCGCCATTCTCACCCCAGCCCTAGACAACCACGAGTCAACTCTCCATTTCTCTCCATTTGCCCTTTCTGGGCACTTTGCTCTTAGGGAGGTGCCTTGTCCTAAGTCTAGGTGTTTGGGGTACCAGGCGTGGACTTTGTTCCCTTGGCAAATGGAGTCGAGTTGCTCTGTGAGCTTTCCTTCCAGTTCACGCTGGCTGTGTCACATTCATCTGTGTGGTGGAGGGTTCTGCTTTACTTGGGACACATGGCAGGTTAGCTTGGGAGGGATGGAGAACAAGGGCCTCCCCATCCCAGTGGGCCACCGCTACCCGGACCCCCCACCCCCCGGGCCACGCCTAGAAGCACTTCGCCCCCTAGTGGTCACCGAGCTCTCACCGGCTGGCGCTGTGGCCCACCAGCCCAGGGTGCGCGCTGCCCTTTCCCGAGATGCAGAGGATGGGCCCCTGGGGGCTTCACTTTCAGGTCCACACCCATTGTGTACAGGTCAGGCTACCTTAGTTTAGCCTGTGGTCCCTTAAATTTCCTTCTCATCATACAGTTGAAACCAATCGGCAGCCGGCTGGGCCCTGGGCTCCACCAGGCCACGGGTGAGGTCGGGCCAGACTAGTTAACAGCCCAGAGAAGCGGCTTGAAGCCGCTTGCCTAGGGTCTGTGTTGACCCTGGAGCCAGTTCCAAAGGTCAGCAGCTTCTCAAGACATTGAATGTTGGGCGTGTCAAGGTTGGTGTTTGGGGAAGTTATCAATGATCTTGTTCAGTTATCCCCCATGTACTCGGGAACAGACTCGCCAACAGGACTTGGTTCCCGTCTCTCTGGTCTGTTGTGCGGTACTGTTGACCTGTGTTCCCAAATCCACAAGTCAGGCAGGTGCGTGCATATCCCCTGGGGGCCTTCTACCCCTGGGCCTCCCCAGGCGGGCCCAGGAGAGATACAGACTCAGTGCAGTGCTCATCCGGCACCCAGCGAGCACGGCGGTCCCAGGGATGCCGTGGCGTCCAGCCGGCGGCCCCACCCGGCGGTGGCGGCTAACCGTGTCCCTGTCCGCGTGCAGGTCCGGCCGGCGGCCCGTGCTGCTCTTCTCCGTCATCTTCATCCTCGTCTTTGGACTGACCGTGGCGCTGTCTGTGAACGTGACCATGTTCAGCACACTCAGGTTCTTTGAAGGATTCTGCCTGGCTGGAGTGATTCTCACCCTGTACGCACTACGTAAGTAGGAGCCTTCACGGCGGGTCTTGAAGAAACGAGGGGACGTGTGGCCGCTGCGTGCGAGGTTCGGGAAGGGTGTCTGCGCGCTGCGATTCGGGGAGGCGGGGGGCGGGCTGTGGAGGCAGCAGCTTCTGGACGTGCGGACCACAGGCCTCATCTGCTGTGAAAGCACTTGTTCCCACGTTGTGTCTCTGACCCTCCCTTCAGCCCGAGCTCCAGCTCAGGCTCAGGGCCCGTCGGAGGACGTGGGGGGCTGCATCGTGGCCCGGAGAAGTGGGGATCGGCCCGCAGTGGGCGTGGACGGGTTTCTGCTTTCCCCCGGGATGTTCTGTGCTCACGTTCCGTGCACTGCCAAACCTGGACGTATCCGGGCATCCCTGCACTCGGTTCCGGAAGAGCATAGCAAGTGCCTGCTCCAGTGTGTTCCGATGGACTCCTCAAGAGTTTTTCTTGTCTGTTTTTCTTTAAGACTGTGCCAGGTCCAGGCTTCCCACCTCCCCGCGTGGCTTAAGTGGTCTGGACTCGAACCCTAAGCACTGGTGCTGGGAGAGCAAACGGCAGTCTCTTTAGGGTGAAGAAAATTTCCGTCGTGCCCGTGACCCTTTTAACTCTCCTGTCAAGGATGGTTGTCTCCCTTCTCTGCAGTCGGTGGTTTCTAGCACAGGGACACAACCCCACAGAAGAAGGAAGGCTTTAGGCATTTACTTATTTTCTAGTTTTATACTTTTTAATCACAGTGTGGAAAGAGAACTGTTAGGACTAATGTAAGATGATTTATGACATGTTTTCTTTTTCTTTCCCTTTGACAGCACAGGCAGGATAGACGAAGTAGCAGTTTCCAGCGGGGTCGGTGAGGATGTAGCTCTGATTATCTTAAAGTACGGCTCGCTTAGTTTAGTCTGTGATCCCTTTAAATAACACTTTTAGATGGCCTGGATTTTGTTCCCTTATTGTAGAGAACAGAACTGTAGTCGATTACAACGTAGCTTTATAACCACAGAGAACAAAAGGGCTGCAGAGGTGTTCTCCCAAAGTCACTGTTGACAGTTTTGTTATCTTCTCCCGACACTGAATTGAATTGTGGTTTCTTAGAAATCACCATTTCCAGGTTATTTGCATTTATTTTGGAGCCCTTGCTCTTGGGGGTTCGTAAGGAGTGTACTTGTTCCAGGGCAGTGGGTTGAGGTGATGGCCATTCGGAGGGTTTGTTTCTTTGAACAAACATCACGGGCGGGGGCAGAGGGGGGCCGGGTGGGCGGGCGGGCTTGAGCGCTTCCATTCAAGGTGCCTGGGCCGTTCTCCATCCCTGCCCACCCGTCCGTCCATGCAGAGGAGCGGCTCTCGCGCTCGTCCTGGAGGAGGCTGCGGGCCCTGCTCTCAGGCCCTCTGGTCCCATGTTTGTTCAGGCACGTGGGCGTCTGCTCTCCAGGCCGCCATCCCCGCGGGGCTCTGGTTCCCACAGGAGGACATCCGTCCTTTGCTTCCTCGAGGACGCTGTTCCCGGGGACGGCTCTGCACACGGGCAGAGTGGAACAGCCACGCTTCAGGAACTTAGCAGAGAAATAACCTCCATCTCACCACGCCGGTACTTAACCACATCCAGTGGAGAGAATGTTCACGGAAAAAAGCCTTAAAGCAAAGCTGACATATCGGTTTTATCTTGCATGCCAACTGCTGACAGAGACCTCAGAGGGCCTGGGAGGACCCTTGGGGCCCAGCGGGAGAAGAGCCTGACCTGTTAGCCCTGCCGGCCTGTGATAAGGAAGGAGGGCAGGGGGTGGCCGGCACTGGCCATCTCTGCAGACTCCCCTGAACTCAGCCAGACCTGGAGAGAATTTACCTCAAACGGCATCATTTCAGCCTCATGTAGAATCGCCATTGTCCCTGTGAAATCTGTTGCTGTATGTACTGTGAAAAATGAAGCTAAGGCTGTTTTTTCATGAGGTTACACAGTGAGCTCTTTATAGTAGAAAGTTCTCTTACATGCTTCAGAACCATACGAAGGGCGTGCTTATCCCGGGAGACGGCTTTGCTGTTATCTTACCGGCACAGATCGTGTAACCCAGGCATCTGCAAACTTTTTTCTGTAAAGGGACAGGTAGTAAATATTTTATTCTGTTGCAGCTACTCAGATCTGCCATCGTATCCTGAAAGCAGCCATAAATAATTTGTAAATGATTAGGTGTGGCCGTGTTCCAGTAAGACTTTGTTTACAGAGGCAGATGGTGGCCAGATTTGACCAGTGGGCCGTCATATTTTAGCCACTGATAAGTGATGCTCTCTCTTTCCACTGACGCTGGGAAGCTTGGAAAGCTTAGAATCTGATCCAGCATGTGTGTGGGCTTGACAAGCTGAGCTTTAAATGCTGGCCCCTCTCCTAGTTTTATTTGAAATTTTCTGCTTTCATTTCTCCTTTGTCCCATTTTCCTATCTCCATAATTTAAGTATTATTTTATCATATGGATTTCCGCACACAGTCTGAAGTTTTCTCGGAAATGAAGCAAGGCATAAATAAATAGCTATGTTTTCTTAGATTGGGATTATGAGTCAAACATCATGACATATCATTGCAATGAAAATTTCCAAGTATCCACCAGTGGCCCGTTGTCCGAGTTAATACTGTGTCTCATATAGCAAAATTAAAATAAAGCAAAACGATATAAATGATTACTTGGAGTTCATTGAGATAATATTTTAAACAGCATAAATCAGGAAAGCTAAGTTTGGGAAGGGAGACTCAAAAAAGGAAATAAAGTTGTAACGGGCAGACAGCATTGGGGTGGGTGTGCTGCGTGCTGGGCTGGGGGAGCGCCTCTCTCTGGCAATCTTGGGAGAAGACGGGCTGGTGACGAGAATTTAAGAGACCAGCTCTCAGTCTGTAGGGCAGGTGACTCTGAATTTCCTAATTAGTGTGCTTGCTAGCGTTTTATACACAAGTAGTGTATATGCTTAGTGAATGCTTGGGAATTTGTTTTGCTTAAAGGAAATTCTTCATAACCCTGGCCACAGGGTCGAAGTATTTCTTGACTCTAAAGAAGAGTTTTTACGTTGGGGAGGTTGATTATTTGGAAGATACAGTTTTTGACGGTCCTGACGTTTTCTCCCCCTTCAACTGGCAGGTTTTTAGCTTACTTAACGCATCTGCTGGAAAGGTCTGAATTTTCTCAGAAGAGACCTGGATATCGTTCTTTTTTCAGCCTTGCAGGTTCTTGGCATCGTAAGAAGGGAGAGTCGTGATTTTTGCCGATTTCGTTTCTTGCGGAGCTTTGCCACGAAGGTGGACTCTTCATTTTGAGACATGCTGCTGACGTGTGAAAGTTTTTGTGCTTTTACGTGCAAGGCTGCTTAAGGTTTTTCCTGTTTTGGAATTTGTCTAAGGTGCATTCCAGTTAAAGACTCTCTCCTTGAAACTTTAGTTTCCTTCGGCTCACCGAAGGGAGATGTGGTTGTGTAATTAGGACATAAACTAGAGACTGTTGGCATCTTCCCAGGAGTCTGTACCTGTAAGCATGTTGGCAGGAACCAGAGACAGCGAGCCATGCTGAATGGTTAGTGGCAGCTACAGACGAGCTTCCTGCTGCCTCTGAGGCCTCACAAGACACTGAAATAATTAAACATACTTGGGCCACCCTGGTGGCTTCATTGTAGCCCTTGAGCTCTGGACCCGGAAAAAAAAAAAAAAAAAAAAGGGTAGAAAGTCTTGACTTAGCTGGGCCAGCAGCAGGGAACCACAGGCAGAGAAAAGAAGCGAGCATCACGTTTCCTTATTCGTTTATGAAAAATAAAGTCTTGTCAGAGAATAAAGAAATAGACGCTTTTCAACACAGGCAGATGTGATTTGTTGTGGTGTGAATTCTTTTTCCAACAAGGATTCGTAACCTCCCAGACAGGGTGATGCAGCTTTTGTAAAGATGTGTCCTTGTTTAAAAGAAGCCCCGAGAGGTTATAGCTTTTTGAGTTGACTTGATATCAGATGTAATAAGTCCTGGGGGAGAGGAATGTTTTTAGCATAAATACTTTTTTGAGTTTCTCTCCTCATTTGATCTCTGTCTTCCCCTCCCCACTTTTAGCAACCTCTCCCGACCCTGAGCACAAGTAACGAGCCCTGCTTTTTGCTGGCAGAGACCATACCTTACTGATGGTGGGTGAATGAACATTACTTTTCTGTTTTTGTTTTTGTTTTTCGGCCTAGCAACAGTTAGGCCGAAAAACAAAACAATTGTTTTGTTTGAACAGTTGCCTTGAAAAATTAAAAGCTTCATGTTCTCATTATGATAACCCTCCTCAAACCCAAACAGCATACATAATTGGACGAATTTTACACATAAGGAGTGACCAGAAATTTCACAGGTGACTAAGTTACTGATTACTTTGCCAAATGAGGAGTCACGTCTTAACTGGTAAATAATCTCTGAAGAACCTTGAGTTTGCTCTGCGTGGGGTCATGTTCTGCTTCTCACTAGCTCGTGAGATAGATGATGGATCTGGACTCAGGCTGAGTAATTTCCATCGTGCTGGGTGACTTTCTTCCTCGCGATTGCCTGTATTTCTATAATTTGATGTTCTTCTGAACTAATATTCCTTGGGGCATATTTCAGTCGACAGGGTGTTTGAGCATCAGAGCTGTGCTGTACGTTAAGAAGACAGTCCACTGAACCATGGCACCAGGGACTGAGTCATTGAGCTGTGTGGTCAAGTATAAGTGACCCCAGCTGGCTGATGAGCAGATGTTGCCACTGCGTTAGGGTGAAGGGACAGTTTCAGTGTAAGTGACCCCAGCTGGCTGATGAGCAGACAATGGCACTGCGTTGCGGTGAAGGGAGAGTTTCTCGGGAACGTGTACTTGGCCATCGTCATCTGTCACCTCTTTCTTCCCCCACCTGCCCCGTCTTCAGATGCCTGGGCCTTCCCTGCGGCCACCCTGGGAGCCACAGCGCCGTTCTGGTGGGACCAGCTCTACCTACAGGGCTTTGTCCACCAAGGAAGTGAGTCAGAGTTTA